TCTCCCTGTGCTCCTCCAAACCCCCCCCACAACTCCTGGGAACCTCCTCCAGGGGGGATGAGACAGGACTGACTTGATTTCCCCCAGTTTGGCCCCAGTTCAGCGGCGCTTGCTCAAGCACAGGCTTCGTTTGGGTGGCAGAGCTGGGCTCAACTGGAGTTCTGTCCTTATTCCCTATTCCTTTTCCCAGGGCTGTTCAGTTCAAACAGGCAAAGGTGGTGCTGGGAGAAGGACTCTGGGGCTTTTAATCCCAGGAAATCCCCCCTGGAGGCAGCTCTGCTCAGCCAGAGATGGTTGAAGGTATTTGTGAGAAGCATCTTCTCCGAGATTCCTTCATGATCCTCATTCTCATCCCCACTCGTGGAATCCCAGGATGGTTTGGGTCAGAAGGACCTTTAAGATCATCCCATTCCAACCCCCCCATGGGCAGGGACACCTCCCACTATCCCAGGTTGCTCCAACCTGGCCTTGGACATTTCCAGGGATAACAGAATATCCTGAGTCGGAAGGGACCCCCAAGGATCATCAGTCCAACTCCTGGCCCTGCCCAGGACACCCCAACAATCCCACCATGTCCCTGAGAGCATTTTCCAAGGCCTATTTCCCTTTTCCCATCCTTGTTTCCAAGGGCATCCACAGATTCTCTGGCAAACCTGTTCCGGTGCCTCAGCATAAAAACCCCAGAGGTCTGAACGTCAGTCCCAGACACTCAGCATCTTTCAAGCCTCAATGCCTCCCTTCCTTTTATTTTCTGCTGCTCTCCCCTCCCCTTCCCAGGCAGCTCCGAGCACTTTTCCCTCCCACAACAATCCCTGGCTGCTCTTAAGTGCCGGGAAGGGGTTTTATAACGGGCTGGAGTTCGTGAAGGGCGAAGCTCCGGCTGTCACGAGGGCTGGGGGGAGAGGCAGGTTCCTTTGAGGACATCTTTGGAACAGCCACTCCAGTCCCCCCCAGGCAGGGACTGGAGCTCTGGCACCCTCAGCTCTTGCACGTCGCAGTTCCCTGCAGAGGGAATTCTCGGAATCCTCGGGAATCCTCCGTGGGATCCCGACCTCGCCGCCAGGGAATCGGAGAGCACCGGTAAGTCAGAGCAGTTCCAGCCCCGGGACCTTCCCTCTCTCTCTTGCTGCTCTTGGAGATTCCCAGATTTATCAAGAGGCCAAATGCTTGTTAAGGCTCTTTGGGGCCCAGCACTGGTTTTATTGGAATTTAATGGAAGCCAATTGAGGCAGGCCAGGATCCAGCGCTCCGAGAGCTCCGGCAAACTGGGGCGAGACACGTCTCTGCACCCAGAGCCATTCCAGCTGTTCCCATTCTCCCTCCTGTGCCTCCACCCCTCTGGATGGGTATGGAGAGGGTGGAAAGGACACTGAGAACTGCTCTGAGCTGCTCCCAGGAGCACATGTCCTGCTTGGATCCAGATTCCCACCCCCCGGGCCCTGATCCCTCAGGGAGCACCAACACCTACAAACACCACGACCTGGATGGGGCTTGGAGCAACCTGGGATAGGGGAAGGTGTCCCTGCCCAGGGAAGGGGTGGAACTGGATGGGCTTTAAGGTCCCTTCCAACCCAAACCAGTCTGGGATTCCCTGACTCCATGATGTGGCACAGGAGAGCAGCAGGGTTAGATGGGATATTGGGAAGGAATTCCTCCCTGGGAGGGTGGTGAGGGACTGGGATGGATTTCCCAGAGAAGCTGTGGCTGCCCCATCCCTGGAAGTGTCCAAGGCCAGGTTGGAGCAACCTGGGATAGTGGAAGGTGCCCCTGCCCATGGCAGGGGGTGGGATGAGATAGGATTTAAGGTCCGTTCCAACCCAAACCATTTTGGGATTCTACAATTCCATGACCTGTTTTTCCTGTGCACAAGAAGCATTTCCAGGGAGCAACAACCGAGGACGACTCCATTCCACCACCCTCTGGATTCGAACCACAGCCTCTAAATTCCAGCTGGTTCATCCCCTTCCAGCTTTCACTCCCCCTATCAGATTCCTCGGGAATCAAATCCCTTCCACAGGGCTGGGAAAGGCAGGGGCAGTACCGTGGGAATCCCGAACGCACGTGCAGGCCATCCACGTTCTGGCTGACCAGGAATTTCAGGATTCCGACTCTCTGCAGCCCCAGCAGCGCCATGTGAGTCTTGGAGGGCCTGGCATTCTCAAAGGTGGTGTCGAATTTTGGGGAGAGCCCTTTCTCTTCCATGGTCCAGACACCATTGGGGCCCCTGCAGAAAGAGGGAAAGAGGGAGAAGGGAGAGCTCGGGCCCCATCCGTGTGGGATGAGCCAGGCCCTGTGGAATGGAGGTCATGGACCACCAGGATTTCGGTGGCTGATGCAAGCAGAGCACACGGGGGGGTTTGGTGGGAAGAGCTGAACATCAGGGAGGTGTGAAAAAGGTGTTCACAGCTGGATCCAGGACTGATGGGATGGATGGATGGATGGATGGATGGATGGATGGATGGATGGATGGATGGATGGATGGAGTAGGTCTGGCTGGGGCAAACCAGAGCTTTCCAAGAGCTTTCCAAGCTGGAAGATGGACTTGGAGGAGGTGCCATCCCCTTACCTGAAGTCAGGGATGCCCGAGGCCGTGCTGATTCCTGCCCCTGTGTGAAACACCACATTGGAGGAGCTCCGGATCAGCTCCGCCAGCTCCCGGACCTTCCGCTCCAGCTCCTCCGGAGGGTCGAAAATCTGGGCAAAGAGACAAACCCGGGATGGAGGGATGTGGGGGTGGATCTCCACGGGGTGCACGTGATGGTGGGTTACATTAGGAAGGAATTCTTCCTTGGCACAGGTTTTCCCAGAGAAGCTGTGGCTGCCCCATCCCTGGAAGTGTCCAAGGCCAGGCTGGAGCAACCTGGGATAGTGGAAGGTGTCCCTGCCCATGGCAGGGGGGTGGCACTGGATAATCCTTCAGGTCCCTTCCAACCCAAACCAGTGTGTGATCCTATGATCCCACACACCTCCCAGTAACCCACAGCTCTTCCTTATCCATGGAAGATTCCACATTCCTTAACAACAGAAGCATTTAACGGGAGAGGAGCCCCCCTGTCCGAGCAGGGGGCAGGGCCGGGAACACCCAACGCTCACGGGGGGTTTGTTGCTCTCCCAGGCAGCTGATCCAGGCTGGGCTCCAGGAGTGACCTGGGGCCACCCCACGTGTCACCAGCTGTCACCAGCAGTGCCACCAGCCCTGGGGACAGCGAGGGACGCGGGAGCCAGGGAGGTGGGACACGGGATTGGGGGGGCACTGTGCCCACCCGGATTGAATTCCTGAGATGCTTCTGCAGCCCCATCTCCTGGGGACAGGGACAAGGACAGGCCCCTGTGTGTCCCTGTCCCCTCACCCCAAAGCCTTTATAAGGGTCCCAAGTACTGCTGGGGCTCAGGGGGGGACGTGGAGGGATTTGGGGGATACATGGAGGGGACATGGAGGGGGCCATGGGGTGGGACTGAGGGGGACAGAGAGGGGGACAGGGAATGGGCCTAAGGGAGATATGGGGGGAACCATGGGGGGGGATTATGGGGCCATGGAGGGGGTCATGGGGTGGGACTGGGAGGATAAGGAGGGAGCCACGGGGTGAGATGGGGGGGACATGGAGGGAATTATGGGATGGGCCTGGAGGGGTACAAGGAGGGGGACATGGGGTGGGCTGAGGGGGGGGCAAGGAGGGAGCCATGGGATGGATCTGGGGGGACAAAGAGGGGGCCACGGGGTGAGGCTGGGGGGGGGACAAAGAAGGATCCATGGGGTGGATCTGGAGGGGATCCGGAGGGAGCAGTTGGATGGGGCTGGGGGGGCCATGGAAAGGGCCACGGAGGGGGGGCCAAGGAGAGATATGGGGGGCCAAGGAGGGGGTCACGGGGTGGGGCTGGAGGGATAAGGAGGGAGCCGCTGGATGGGCGGGGGGCGCCTGGAAGGGGCCATGGAGGGGGGCCAAGGAAGGTTCCACGGGGCAGGGCTGGGCACACCCAAAGCGCTCGGTCCCTGCCGGGGTTGGGCTCCTCAGGGGTGTCCCCGCGGGGGCCTCGGCCGCGGTTGCCATGGGAACGCGCCGGGCCGGGGCAGGGCCCGTGGATGGCGGGGGGAGGCCCGGGCGGGCGGCGGTTCCGCTGCGGGCGGGCCGAGACCCCCCCGGACGGTCGGAGGGTCCCCCCCGCGGGCGCTGCTCACCTCGGGGAGGCCGCACTTGCCCTTGTCCGAGTACGGGGACAGCCCGGCCGCGTAATTCACCGCCATCGGCGCGGCCGCACCGCGGCCGGAAGCGGAGCGCCGAGGGGGCGGGGCCTGAGCAGGACACGCCCCCCGTGCCGCCGCCGCCATCTTTGTGTCGGGCAAAGCCGAGCGCTTGCCCAAACCTTGCCCAAACCTTGCCCAAACCTGGGCTGTGCCCCCCCAACCCGGGCTGGGATGGGGGAGCGGGGAAAGGGGGTGACAGGGATGGGCAGGAGGTGACAGGGAGAGCAGGGGGTGACAGGGAGAGCAGGGGGTGCTGACGGGTGCCAGTGAGGGCAAAGGGGTGCCATGAAGGGCAAGGTAGGAGAGGGGTGGCAGGGGAGGATGGAGGGGAAGCAGGAGGTGCTGGCAAGGACAAGGGGTGCCAGGGAAGGATAGTGGACGCCAGGGAGGGACAGGGGGTGCCAGGGAAGGGCAGAAGGTGCTGGCAAGGACAGGGGGTGCCAGGGAAGTTCAGGGGGTGTCCAGGGAAGTTCAGGGGGTGTAGGGGAAGGCGGGGGGGCTGGCAAGGGCAGGGGGTGCCAGGGAGAGGCAGGGAATGCCAGGGAAGGGAAGGAGGTGTCAGGCCAGGACAGGAGGTGCCACCAAGGTCAGGGGGTGCCAGGGCAGGGCAGTGAGTGCCAGGGAAGGACAGAGGTACCATCAAGGACAGGGGGGGTCAGGGAAGAACAGGGGGGTGCCATGGAATTTCAGGGGGTGCCAAGGAAATTCAGGGGGTGCCAAGGAAATTCAGGAGGTGCCAACCATCAGGACCCAGCCGTGCCTGTCACCAGCCCCCGAGAGGGCTGAGCAGCCCAAGCTGAGCCCCCCCAGCTCCCCCTCCAGCCCATGTCCCCTCTGCCCCCTGTCCCTGTCCCTGCAGGGACACACGGACACACGGACAGACAGACAGACCCCTCCCCAGCCGGACCCCCCCGGGCTGTAACCGCAGCCGCAGCCGTAACCCAACTCCCCGGGTCCTGTTCCCGGCTCCGCTGCGGCTGCGGGGACACGGGGACAGGGCTGGGAACAGCGGGACGGGACGGGACGGCTGAGCTGTCCCCGGGGGGGGACAAACCCTCCAGCACGGCCATCCCCCCTCCAGGTGCCACGAGGCTGAGGTTGGAGCCACCATGAAGAGCCTGAGGGCCAAGTTCAAGAAGGGAGACGTGAGTGCCATCCCTGGGGGCTTGGGGGCGCAGGGACCTCTCCTGGGATGTCCACAGGGACACGGGGACGTGCCCATGAGTATGCAGGGATACAGGGACCAGCCCTGGGATGCACACAGGGACATGGGGACCTGCCCTGGGATGTCCTTGAGGACGTGGGGACCTGCCCTGGCATATCCACAGGGACAGGAGGACACAGGGACCTGCCCTGGGATGTCCTTGGGGACATGGGGACCTGCCCTGGGATGCCCACAGGAACAAAGGGACCTGTCCTGGCATATCCACAGGGACATGAGGACACGGGGACCTGCCCTGGTGTGTCCTTGGGGACATGGGAATCTGCTCCAGGATGTCCCCAATTTCACAGGGACACGGAGACCTGCCCTGGGATGTCCATAAGGACACAGGGACACAGGGACCTGCCCTGGGATGTCCATAAGGACACAGGGACACATGGACCTGCCCTGGGATACAGGGACCTGCCCTGGGATGTCCATAAGGACACAGGGACCTCCCCTGGGATACAGGGACCTGCCCTGGAATGTCCACAGGGACACAGGAACCTGCCCTGGGATATGGGTGGGGACCTGCCCCAGAATGTCCCAAGTCTTACAGGGACTTGAAGACATGGAGATTCCCCCCAGGATGTCCCCAGTGTCACAGGGACACGGGAACACCCCCTGGGACAAGGAAGGGGTGGCCGCTCCCCATGGGGACAGCAGCCCCAAGGAGGTTGGCACTGCCACCCTGGCCGGTGGCATGGAGCCCCCAGCGCACCCCCGAGTGCTCCCAGAGCCATCCTTGGGAGTGGGGCAGAAAAAAGGAGAGAGAAGCAGGTCCCAGGTCCCCTCCCTGTCCCCTCCCTGGTGACAACTGCCAGCTTTCCAGCTGCCACAGCCCGCGGAAGCAGCGAGTCGATGCTCCTCAATTATTCAGGAGCCGCCTGGCACGGCCGAGGGCTCTGCCCCGGGGGCACAGGGTGACAGGGCGGGTGACAGGCACCCGGGGGACACGGCTGGGGACACGGGGACACAGGTTGGAGCCCCCCACCCACCTCAGGGGTGCTCCGTGCCTCAGTTCCCCCGCTCTGCCCTGGACAGTCCCCTGGGAGGCTCCCGCTGTCCTGCTGCTCCCGGGGCTCTGCCGGGACAGTGTCTGGGGACCCTCTGCACTTTGGGGGGAGTTCGGGGGGACCCGGAGATGCAGGCGGGGGGTCCTGCGCCCCCTTGGCCGCCGGGCTGCGGTGGGAGGTCAGTCCGTGCCCCCAGGGCGGGGCAGGGGGTCCCACGTCCCCCTCCTCGGGGGGCAGGATCTGAGGGGCAGGAGGATGCTCAGCCCTGCTTTGGGGGTGGTTTGATGCCTCGCTTGAGCTTGGGGTGGGAAAGCTGCGCCCACTCCCCAACCCCTCCCACTGGAACTGGGACCAGTCTGGGTGCTGGTCCCTAACTGGGGGATGCTCCGTGGCGGGATGCGGGGATGCTGAGGAGGGAGGGAGGGGAGGGGAGGAGGGAGGGAGGGACGGAGGGATGGAGGGAGGCGGGTCCCGCTTCCCACTGCGGCAGCCCCTGCCCCGCCCGGGCGGCGATGCTGCTCCGAGCCGGGCTCTGGGGTGGGCGGGCTGGCCCAGGCGGGGGGCGCGGGGTTTATGGCTGCCCGCCGCCTCCTCCTCAGCACCATGAAGCAGATCTGCCTCTGTGCCGCCGCCTCCTTCGCGGTACGTCCCCCTCGGGACCCCCCTCGGGACCCCTCCGGTCGCGTCCTGCGGGCTCAGCCGTGGCCCCCCCGCCCCGCCCGCACCCCCCGCGCCCCCATCCCCGGCCCCACCCCGGGGCTCCCCCTGCGCCCTCCCCAAACCTGCTTTGTCCTTGCCCCACAAGGGGGTGGGGGGCGCGGGCACCACCCTCCCAGTTTGCCCAGTAACCCTGGGAGACTGGTGTACTCCCTGCCCCGCCGGGCTGGAGGGGCTCCGAGGGGTTCCCGGCGGGCGCGGTGCCGCCGGGCTGGCTCGGGGCACGGTGCCAGCAGCTCCCGAAAGGTGACATCCATTTCCTGCCGCCGCGGCCGCAGCCGGCTCGGCTTTGTCGTCACCGGCCGCGGGGTGAACCCAGGACTTCCAGTCCTTGTCCTGGTGCTGTCCCGCTGCGGGTCAGTCCCTCGGGATAGGGAGGAACGGGAGCACTGGGAAAGCGAGGTCCCTTCCAGCCCCTCTGCTGTGCACGGGGACAGTGTCGTGCCCCGTTATCCCAGCGAGGCTGGAGCATCCCAGGGGAGCTGCCCCGGCTTGGTCCTTTCCTCCTCAGGGCTGGGATTGGGATCAGTGGGGAGAACGGGGCAGGGTGGGGCTCCCTTGGGTGCTGGCTGTGTTTATTGGGGTGGCAGGGGCAGCCGGGCTCGTTCCCAAATCCCAGCCGGTCCCACTGGGTCTGTAAATGCCCTGGTCTGTGAGCTGCAAACTGGGAGGGGCTGGAGGGGGCCCTCATCCCAGTCCCAGCTGAACCCTCCGTACTGGGAGTGGGACAGCACAGCCCCCAGCAGAGGGGCTGGCACAGAGACGGCCACCCCAAGGGGCAGGGCTGGGTGCAGGGCAGCAGGGACGGGGACAAAGACAGCCCCCAGCCCAGCCCTGGGGACAGCACAGTGCCACACACACAGTGTCACACACACAGTGCCACACAGTGTCACACACAGTGTCACAGAGTGTCACACAATGTCACACAGTGTCACACACACAGTGCCACACACACAGTGTCACACACACAGTGTCACACACACAATGTCACACACACAGTGTCACACAGTGTCACACACACAGTGTCACACACACAGTGTCACACACACAGTGTCACAGAGTGTCACACAATGTCACACAGTGTCACACAGTGTCACACACACAGTGTCACACAAGTGTCACACACACAGTGTCACAGAGTGTCACACAATGTCACACACACAGTGTCACACACAGTGTCACACACACAGTGTCACACACACAGTGTCACAGAGTGTCACACAATGTCACACAGTGTCACACACACAATGTCACACAATGTCACACACACAGTGTCACACACACAGTGTCACACACAGTGTCACACACACAGTGTCACACAATGTCACACACACAGTGTCACACACACAGTGTCACACACAGTGTCACACACACAGTGTCACACAATGTCACACAGTGTCACAGAGCTCCTCTGGGCTCTGTTGCAGAGCCAGGACTGGACCAAGAACGACGAGAAGCTCCTGCAGGCCGTGGACTACAACGATGCCGGGCGGGTGACGTCGCTCCTGCTCCGCAAGGGCCTGGTGCCCACCAAGCTGGACTCGGAGGGCAAATCTGCGTGAGTGCCACCCCACGCCCCGGGGACAGGGCCGGGGACGAGGGACACGAGTGCCACGGTGCCACAGCCCCCCGGTCTCGCTGCAGGTTCCACCTGGCTGCCACGCGGGGGAACGTGGACTGCCTGGAAGCCATGCTGGCCCACGGCGTGGATGCCATGACCAAGGACAGCTCGGGTGAGGGCAGGGCCACCACGTGCCCCTGGCTACTGCCACGGGCCGCCCAGGGCCACCTGGTTGTCCCCAGGGGACAGAGGTGACGGCCACGCCAGGAGTTCAAACCCTGAGCGATGAGGCTCCTGAGGATGTCCCTGTGCGCCCAGCCCGTGTGCCCATCCCTCTGTGTGTCCCCCAGGCTGTCCCCTGTGCCACAGACCTGCTGTCCGTGCTCTGACCCGTCTGTCTGTCCCTCCCCAGGTTCCACTGCCCTGCACTTGGCCTCCAAGCACGGGCACCCTCAGTGTGTCAGCAAACTGCTGCAGGTACGGGGCAGGTGGAGGGAGGGAGGGAGGGAGGGGAGGAGGAGGAGGAGGAGGAGGAGGAGGAGAAGGAGGAGGGTGCTGTGCCAACAGAGTGTCCTCCCTGTCCTTGAACCCCCTTCCCTCACCAGTGCCCTGACCTGGCATGGTGATTCCTGGCTCTGTGTGGTGCTGCCTGGCACCTACCTGGCCTTCCACGATGCCACGGGGCCACAGGCTGTCTGTCTGTCCCCTGTCCTTCATCACATCATGGAGCCACAGCTGGCTGGCTGTCCCCTGTCCTTCACCAGGCTGTCTGTCTGTCCCCTGTCCCCCCATGGAGCCACAGGCTGTCTGTCTGTCCCCTGTCCTCCACCACACCACAGAACCAACCACAGGCTGTCTGTCTGTCCCCTGTCCCCACAGAGCCACAGACTGTCTGTCCCCTGCCCTCCACTGTTCCAGGGAGCTGTGTCCACTCAAGGAGTCTGTCTGTCCCGTCCTTCACTTGGCTGTCTGTCTGTCTGTCCCCTGTGTTCCACCACACCATGGAACCCCTGTCTGTCTGTCCCCTGCCCTTTACTGTGTCACGGAGCCATAGCCTGTCTGTCTGTCCCTTGCCATCCACCATGGCATGCAGCCATGCCCACTCAAGCAATCTGTCAGTCTGTGCCCTGCCCTCCCCTGTGCCACAGAACCACATCCCCTCGAGTGGTCTGTCTGTCTGTCTGTCCCTTTCCTATAACCCAGGCTCTGTCCCTCAGGCCTCCTGCCCTGTGGATGTGGCCGACGGCAGCGGCCGGACCGCGCTGCACCTGGCAGGTGAGTGGGGACAGTGGGGACAGTGGGGACAGTGGGGACAGTGGGGACAGTGCCACCCTGCCCTGTCCCCGGGGAGGGAGCGCTCAGCTCTGTCCCTTCCACAGCCGTCAGCGGCTGCATCTCGTGCTCCGAGATCCTCTGTGACTTCAAGGCCCCCTTGAACATCAAGGACAAGGTGAGGTCCTGCTGCTCCTCGTGCTCCTCGTGCCAGGCTGTGCCTGCGGGGTGTGGAAATCAGGGGGGGATATCAGGTGGTGCCTTGTCTGCTCCTCCTCACCCCCCCTGCCCTGCCCAGGACGGCTCCACCCCGCTGATCCTGGCTGCCAAGATGTGCCACTCGGAGCTGTGCCGGTACCTGCTGCACCGCGGGGCCGCCGTCAACAGCCGGGACCTGCAGGGCAGGTGGGGCCGCGCCGGCGGGCACCGGGAGGGCACGTGGAGACCAAGGGGATGCCCCCCCTCACCTCTGCTGTCCCCCCGTGCCCAGGACAGCCCTGATGCTGGCCTGTGAGAGCGGCAGCGTGGAGACCGTGGAGGTGCTGGTCAACGCCGGCGCCCGCGTGGCCGTGGTCGATGCCACGGGCCACGACGCTGCTCACTACAGCCTGGCCACGGGCAACGCCCTCATCCAGCACTTCCTGCAGGAGGCTGCTCAGCGCCGCTCCTGGGCCAGTGGTGAGGCAGCCGTGGCACCCTGGTGCTCCCTGTGCCCCGGGGATGGAGGGTGAGGGGGTCGTCACCCCGCAGGGAATGGACCCGCGGGGGGATTGGCACCGTCAGGGCGCTTTGGGGCGGGGATGGAGGAGGCTGGGTGAGGCTGGGGGGCACATGGCCCCTTCTCTCAGGCACCAGGGCTGCCTCTGGCTGTGCTGTCACCAGCTGAGGTGGTGCTGACCCTCGGTTGCCTGGCTCAGTGTCTGCGCGTGCTTGCACACACGTGTTCATGCGTGTTTGCATGTTGAGGGGGTCTCAGTGCATGGGTGTTTTCACACGTGTCTGTGTGTGCACGTGTCTCCCTGTGTCTGCACTGCATCTCTGTCCTTCAGACCCGTGTGCATCCCTGTATTTGTCTGTCTGTGTCCCCTTGAACACTGTGCACTCACGTGTGTGTGTCCCCTGAGTGTCCCCACACCCACACGGGCTCTGGTCCCCTACAAACTTCCCTCCTGTTTCTCTTCCCTCCCGCTCTGCCCCTCAGAAGAGGAGTCAACTGAGCAGACATCCCAGGTGAGGGTCTGCCAGGGGGTCCCCCGGGGCTCTCTGAGGTGGCACTGGGTCAGGGAGGACAGAGGTCACCATGGGTGTGATGTCCCCTCTGCCCTGGTGTCTCCACAGACCTCTTCCCCCAGCCAGTCATCCGTCAGGGAGAAGAGCAGCACCCCGAGGAAGAGGAAGGCCCCTCTGCCTCCCCTGGGCACCCTCAGCCAGGTGAGAAGGGATCCCCCTTAGCTCCAGGTCCTCACCTGGCTCGCTTGCAGGGCACACCCCTGTGCTGGCCTCGGGGGGGTCCCCACCCTGCCAGAGCTTTTCCTTCTCTCCCTGGGGTCAGAAAGCGCCCTCAGGCACACGGTGGGATTTTTGGGGTGTCCCGTGCCAGGAGTTGGACCCGATGATCCTTGTGGGTCCCTTCCAGCTCGGGGAATTCCATGATTCTGTGATTACCTGCAGGAGGACCGGGACGCCTACGAGGAGATCGTGAGGCTGCGGCAGGAACGGGCCCAGTTCCTGCAGAAGATCCGGGGCTTGGAGCAGCAGGAGAAGCAGCGCCGGGAGGTACCAGCTGCAGGGCCCTGGGGAGATGGCACCGTGTCCCTGGGGAGCGGAGGGGACAGTGGGGATGGGGACAACAGGGATGGGGACAGCAGGGATGGGGACAGCAGGGATGAGGACAGCAGGGATGAGGACAGCAGGGATGGGGACAGCAGGGATGAGGACAGCAGGGATGAGGACAGCAGGGATGGGGACAGCAGGGATGGGGACAGCAGGGATGAGGACAGCAGGGATGGGGACAGCGTTCATCCCTCCCTGTTTTCTCTCTGGGTCCTGCTAGAGGGCAGAGCTGGACGAGGGCTCCCTGCGCTCCATGGAGAAGCAGGTAAAGGCCAGTGAGGAGCTCAAGGGTGCTCCTGGTGCTGGGAATGCCATCGGGACTCCAATGGGAGCCAGGAGGACACAATTCCTGCATCCTGCCCCTCAGATCCAGGAGCTGGAGCAGCAGCTGGCGGCCCGGGATGGGGAGAAGGAGCGGCTGGGCAAGGAGGTGGAGGCTCTGCGGAGCCGCTTGTCCTCGCTGGAGGTGGGTGTGGGCAGCAGCTGGCAGTGCCAGGGGCTGGGAGGGGTGTCAGTGAGGGTCACCACCACCCTGCGTCCCCAGAACGAGAAGGAGAACACGAGCTACGACATCGAGACGCTGCAGGACGAGGAGGGAGACCCGCTAGAGTTCCCAGGTAGGGAGGCCACCCGAGGGGGGGTGGCACTGGGGAGCGGGGGTGTGGGTGGGCACGGGTGGGCACCGAGCGGAGTCCCTGTGCCCCGCAGGAGCGGAGCTGCTGCTCTCCAAGAAGACGCTGAGCCCCTCGGCCGAGGAGCTGCTGGCCACGCTGCAGGGGCAGGTGCAGTCCCTCACCGTGCAGAACAAGGAGCTGAGGGACAAAATACAGGCATGTCCTCATCTGTCTGTCCGTCTGTCCCTCCCTCCTCCGCCCCCTGTCCCGCGGGGGCCTCACGGTGTCCTCGGCAGGTGCTGGAGAACTACGAGCGGGACGAGAGCAGCGCGCCCACCCCGGGGGACGTGGTGCCCGCCAGCCTCTACCGGGCCCTGCAGCGGGAGCTGGAGCAGCTGCGGGCACAGGGCGCGAGGGGCGAGGCCGGGGGGCGGCTGGAGGGGCAGCGTGGTGCCACCGAGAGAGCCCCGGAGCAAATCCCGGAGGGATTCCCGGAGGGAAGTGTGGCTCAGGGGCTTGCCGAGGAGCCGGCCTGGACGTGGGGCGAGTGCAAGGCAGTGCTGGGTGAGCTGGGGGTGCCACAACCACCGCCCTCCTCCTCCTCCTCCTCCTCGGGCGCGGAGCTGGCGGAGGCGCGGGCGGCCCTGCAGCAGGCACAGAAAGCTCTGGACGAGCGAGAGCAGCAGCTGAAGGATCTGCAGGCCCGACTGGAGGCCGCAGAGGCCGCGGCCTCGCCGGGAGCCTCCGCGGAGGAGGCGTCGAGGGAGAAGGAAGCGCTGCTGGAGCGCTGCGGGCGGGCGGAGGCCGAGGCCGAGGCGCTGCGGCGGGAGCTGGAGGCCAAGGCGCGGCGCGAGCCGGGAGGGCACGAGGAGGCGGCGGAGCTGGCGGAGCTGCGGGAGGCCCTGGCGCGGCAGGAGGCCGAGCTGGGCAGCCTGCGGGAGCAGCTGGCGGCGCGGCCCGTGGGGCGGCGGGAGCACGAGGAGGCCCTGGCGCGGCTGCGGCAGGCGCGGGCCGAGGGCTGGGTGCCGCGGGACGAGCACGCCCGCGCCACGGCCGCGCTGGAGGAGCAGGCGCGGGCGCTGCGGGAGCGGCTGGCGCAGCTGGAGGCGGCGGCCGAGGCCAAGGGGCGCGAGGCCTCCCGGCTGGAGGCCGAGCTGGCGGCGGCCGTGCCGCGCGCCGAGCACGAGGCGGCGGCGGCGGCGCTGCGGGAGGAGGCGGCGGCGCTGGGCCGGCGGCTGGAGGAGCTGGGCCGGCGGCACGAGAGGACGTGCGAGGAGGTGTTCAGGGTGCAGCGGCAGGCGCTGTTCATGAAGAGCGAGCGCCAGGCGGCCGAGGACGGGCTGGCGGCGGCGCAGAAGCAGCTGGAGGAGGCGCGGGCCGAGGCGCGGCGGCTGCGGGAGCTCCACGGCCACGCCGAGGACGCGGCTCGGCTGGTCAGGGAGAGGGACAGGAAGGTACGGGGGGGGGACACGGGGCAGAGGTTTGGGGGGAGTGGGGGGTCTGCCATTCCCAGCCCTCTGAAACTCGTTTGGTCTGAAAGTCCCCTCGAGCTCGGTGCAGAAGCCAGAGGGAAACAGCCACGGTCTCCCTGTGCTCCTCCAAACCCCCCCCACAACTCCTGGGAACCTCCTCCAGGGGGGATGAGACAGGACTGACTTGATTTCCCCCAGTTTGGCCCCAGTTCAGCGGCGCTTGCTCAAGCACAGGCTTCGTTTGGGTGGCAGAGCTGGGCTCAACTGGAGTTCTGTCCTTATTCCCTATTCTTTTTCTCAGGGCTGTTCAGTTCAAACAGGCAAAGGTGGTGCTGGGAGAAGGACTCTGGGGCTTTTAATCCCAGGAATTCCCCCTTGGAGGCAGCTCTGCCTCTGGGAGCTGCACACATGGAGTTACAGAATGGTTTGGGTTGAGGGGGATCCTAAAAATCATCCAGTGCCACCCCTTGCCACGGGCAGGGACACTTTCTACTATCCCAGGGTGCTCCAACCCAGCCTTGGACACTTCCAGGGATGGGGCAGCCACAGCTTCTCTGCCCAACCTGTGCCAGGGCCTCCCCACCCTCCCAGAGGAGAATTTCCTCTGCTCTCCTGGCTCTTCCCTGGTTTTCCCTTCCCCTTCCCAGGCACGGGGCCCACCCAGGGCTGCACCCCAGCAGGGTTGGGGTGCAGGGTCCCCCTGATCTCTGTGCACTCTGCAGATCACGGAGCTCTCCAAGGAGGTTTTCAGGCTGAAGGAAGCCCTGAACGCCCTCCCCAAGCCAGGGGAGCCTCCACAGTCCCCCCCCAACACCGCAGCGCTCCAGGACAGGATCCGAGCGCTGGAGGAGAAGCTGGAGGTGGGCCCTGGGGGGTTTGGGGGCCATCACCTGGTGGGTTCTGGGCTCCCACGAGCCCCCAGCCCCGTGGCCAAACCCCCCTCCCTGTCCTGCAGGAGACAGAGGTGCGGCACAGCAAGGTGGTGACGCTGTACCGGAGCCACCTGCTCTATGCAGTGCAGGTGAGACGGGGACAGGGCTGGGGGGACAGCTGGGGACACCGCTGGGGGGGACTGGGCCACCTGCCAGCCACGCCTTGGTGCCCACAGCAGGCAAACACGGGGCTGGGATGGAGGTTGGCGAGACCTGGGGGCAGAGGTGTGGGGGACTGAGGGACTGGTGCCAGCCCAGGGGCGCTTGGGACACACACAGAGACCTCCTGATGTCCCCCCTCGATGTCCCCATCGATGTCCCCTCCACGCCAGGGCCACATGGACGAGGACGTGCAGAGGCTCCTGTGCCAGATCCTGAGGATGCAGCGGCTGCAGGAGCAGAGCAGATGAGCCCCTGCCAGCACGGCAGTGCCATGGGGGGCGGTGGCACTGCCAGTGACACGGGGTGGGGACGGGTCTGTCACTGCACCCTCTGTGCCCCTTTGCTTGCCCTGTCACTGGCACCCACCCCCCACACCCACCCGGGCCCCGCTGCCCCCCGACCCAGCACAGCAGCAATAAAGTATTTATAGCCACACCAATTTTGGCTCCTCTCTGGGGGCACCAGGGTGGGCACGGGAGGCTGTGTGGGGAGCTGGGGGGGACAGCAGGGGATCATTGCCACCATCTCCAGCCCCACTGTCCCCAGAGGGTGACTGTGAAGGAAGGGGGCTCGGTGGCAGTGTGGAAAGGTGGGAACCCTCTTGGCCAGGGCTGGAATCCCTTTCCCGTGAGCCTGAGGCCCCGAGCGTGGGGATCCCAGTGGAACAACACTGGGAAGTGTGTTGGTCCCCACGGGGGACGGCGTTTCCTGCCCGAGGAAGTGGGATGAGGCCGTGGCTTCCCGCTCCGCTGGGGACACTCCGGTCCCAGAGGCCTGGCCCTGCTGTGGTGAGGATTTTGGGGGACTGGACTCCCCACGGGGCTGGGGGCAGAGGAGGGGGTGTTGGGGGTCTGGGGTGACCCCACAGCACCTGGTTTAGGGCACTGCAGGAGCCCCAAATCCAAGGAAAGTGAGGGATGTCCCTCCTGGGGTTGAGCCAGCCCAGGGACACGGCGGGAGGTGACAAGGGCAGGATCTGTCCCTGTGGGGCTGGGCTTGGGGACAGCAGGGAGCTCAGCTGGGCCCCCGGGCTGGGCTTTGGGGGTCTCTCTGAGGGATGGTCCCACCCTGGATGTCCATGGGGGTGGGGGCCATCCCAGGGTGCAGGTCCAGGTCTGGAGTGATCCTAAACCTCAATTCCAGGCACGGGACTGCAGGGGTGGCTGCAGGGCCCGGTAGGAAACTGTGGGAAGAGCAGGAGTTTTCATTCCCTCTCCTCCCTGGCAGCAGGATCTGGTCACCACAGCCAGAATCCATCCCTGTCCCTGGGGTGTGTGGCACAGCCAGAGGGGACACTGAGGCACAGCACTGTGGGGTGGCCCAGAGAGGGGTTTGAACCCCCCCAGCTTCAAGGTGATGTCCCCAGGCCCTGTGGTGTCCCTGCTGTCCCCTGCCCTGGGGTTTCATTGTCCTGCCTGTCCCTGCAGGTCACTGGGCAGTTCCTCTGAGCCTCCTGACATGAAGTGGCTTTGGGTGGTGGCTTTTGTGGCACCTGCCTGCACCGTCCCCTACAACGGCACTGGGGACAGGGACAATGGGGACAGAGGTATGTGGGACTGGGGGGACTGGGATGGAGGTTGGGAAGAACAGGGGACTGGGATGGAGGGACTGGGGGGACTGGGATGGAGGTTGGGAAGAACAAGAGACTGGGATGGAGGATTGGGGGATCGGGATGGAGGTTGGGAAGAACAAGAGACTGGGATGGAGGATTGGGGGATCGGGATGGAGGTTGGGAAGAACAAGGGACTGGGATGGAGGGCCTGGGGGACTGGGAGGGAGTATGGAGGGAAACAGGGGACATGGGGGGACAGAAACAGGGGCATGGAGGGACTGGTGGTGGAGGAACAGGGACAGTGGGGGCCTGGGGACACGAGGGCATCAAGGGCAGAGCCGGGGGGCTGGGGGCACTGGGGTGTTGGGAATGGCACTGGGGGGCCCAGGGGGGCCCAGACCCTTCCTGCCCCAGCGTCACCCCCACCATGGCACGTCCCCCTGACCCCTCTCTGGGCCCCCTCCCGTGTCCCCCCCAGCCCGCTGTGCCCCCCAGCACAGCCCCCTGGGCACCGAGGTGCTGTTGCAGTGCCCGGGGGGTCTGGCCGAGTGGCGCTGGGGGGGCACCGTCCTGGGCACGTCCCCTGCCCCGGGGCTGGCCCTGCCCAACGCCAGCCTGGCCCACGAGGGCAACTACAGCTGCCACCACCCCGGCACCGGCGAGACCTGGGCCACCATCTGCCTGCGCCTGGGCTGTGAGTGACCCTCCCCAGCCCTGCTGTGGCCCCCAGTGCTGCTGGGGGGGTCCCCTGGGGACACTGGCAGTGGGGTGACCCCTGTCCCCTTCCCCAGACCCCCCCTCTCCACCCGCCATCGAGTGCTGGGCCACCAGTTACCCGCAGGCTGTGAACTGCTCCTGGGCTCTGACCCCCGACCCGCTGCTGGACACTGACTTTGTGGCCACGTACAGGTCAGTGGGGGGGTCCTCAAAGCCCAGCTGAGCCCCCCCTGTGTCTGTGTCACCCCCCCTTCACCCAGCTGCCCCCTGTGCCCTCCAGGCACGGCACAGACACGGGCGAGTGCGAGCGCACGGGGCCGCGGAGCTGCTCCTTTGGGGACCTGCAGGTGTTTTCCCTCACCCCCTACGTGGTGAATGTGACGGCTGTGAACCCCCTGGGCATTGCCTCTGGAATCCTGCCCTTCCTCCTGGAGAACATCAGTGAGTGCAGCTGGCGTGGGGGGACACTGGAGTCCCCTCCACACCCGTCACACCTCACCCCCCTGGGTCTGATCCGGATACCTTTGGGTCTTTCCCCTCTGGTTTCTCCCTTCCTCGGGATGTGGAATCATCAGTGCGATGATTTGGGGGTCTCAGGTTGTCTCTGCAGCCTGCATTGCACAGCTCAGCTCACAGGGAGGGGACACACGGTGTCCCTGGATCCCCCTGGGTGTCCCTGGATCCCCCTGCGTGTCCCTGAATCCCCCAGGCATCACCTTCCCCTTCATTTAAAAAAGAAGAAAAAAGGCTTTTTACACAGGCAGATGGTGGTAGGACGTGGGGAATGGTTTTAATCCACACGAGGAGAGATTGAGATGGGATATTGGGAAGGAATTCCTCCCTGGTACAGGTTGGGCAGAGAAGCTGTGGCTGCCCCATCCCTGGAAGTGTTCAAGGCCAGGCTGGAGCAACTTGGGCTAGTGGAAGGTGTCCCTGCCCATGGCAGGGGTGGAACTGGATGGGCTTTAAGGTCCCTTCCAACCCAAACCATTCTGGGATTCCCTGATTCCTTATCTCCCTGTTCCTCAGTAAAGCCGGACCCCCCTGAGGACCTGAGGGTCTCCCCCATCCCTGGAGAGACCACAAAGCTGCTGCTGGAGTGGAGCCCTCCGGCATCCTGGCCCTTCCCAGAGTACTTCCCACTGAAGTATCACCTCCGCTACACCCGGGACAATGATTCTGTCCCCACCACGGTACTGCCACCCCCCCGCTCCCACCCGGGGCAAACTGAGGCTGCCCTGCACACACAGGGCCGTGTCCCCGGGTGTCCCTAACCCTGCTGTCCCCAGATCGGGCCATTCGAGCCGACATCCCACATCCTGACCGACGTGGAACCCGGGACCCTCCACCACATCCAGGTGGCCGCCAAGGAGGTGGCGGATTTCGGGGAGTCCAGCGCCTGGAGCCCGCCGGCCTCGGGGACACCCTGGGAGGGGCCGTGATGGGCAGGGTATGGCCACTGTCCCACGGCCCTCCCACAGTCCCCTGTCCCACCGAGGGACCCCAGTACTGCCAGGAACGGGCAATAAACTGGCTGCAGGCTCTGCCCCTGTTCTGATTGTGTGGGATGTTTGTGATGGCTGAGCTGCCCCTGGGGATGGTCCCTTCACTGCCCCAGGACAGTCCCTTTTCTGCCACTGAGGAAGGTCCCTTTTCTGCCCGAGGATGGTCCCTTTTCTGCACCTGGACGGCCCCTTCGGTGCCTCAGTACGGTCCCTTTTTACTGCCCCAGGATGGTCCCTTTCCTGCCTCAGGACGGTCCCTATTCTGCCCTCGGGGACTGCCCCTTCACTCCCCCGGAACGGTCCCTTTGCTGCCCCAGGACGGTCCCTTTGCTGCCCCTGGGGTCGCTCTGTTTTCTGCCCTTTGACGTTCCCTCTTCTGCCCTTTGAGGTTCCCTTTTCTGCCCTTTGAGGTTCCCTTTTCCTGCCCTTTGACGGTCCCTGTGGTGCCCGCGAAGCCGACCAGCCCCATTCCCGCCCCGCCATGGCCACAGGGGCGGGCACAGCCCCCTGAGCCCCCTCATCGCCCCCCGGGTGCCCTCGCTGACAGACATCTGAGACAACCAATAGCAGGCGAGCATTCACCGGCCGGCGGCCCGCTCCACCAATGAGCGGCGGGGAGGGGCGGGACTATTCCCAGGGAGCGGCGGCGCTGAGGGGTGGGCGGCCATGTCGGACACCGGCTGGGTGCGGGCACCGTGCTCGCTGTGGGGGTCCCTGATCACCGTGGGGCCGTTACACCCAAAACCGGAGCCCCGGGGCCGTTACCGACCCACACCGGAGCCCCGGGGCTGGTGTGTCGCCCCCCCGCTGGTGCCCGGCGGTCATTACACGTCGCTGCCTTCCCGCCCTCCGGCAGCGGGCGCTGCGCCGTTCCCGCCGCCCGCGGCCCCTGCGCGCGGGGCCGGGCGACCCCGGGGCGCGGCCCCTCAGGGACTGAGGCGATGGCGGGGCCCTGAGGGGGGAGACCGAAACGCTGAGGGGTTTGGGAGGGGAAAGGAGCTTAAAGGTTATCTATTCCCACCCCTGCCATGGGCAGGGACACTTTCCACCAGACCAGGTTGCTCCAGCCTGGCCTTGGACATTTCCAGGGATGGGGCGGCCACAGCTTCTCTGGGAAATCCATTCCAGCCCCTCATCGCCCTCACCATCAACAGGTTCCTCCTAATATCCCATTTAACTCTGATCTCACATTCGCAGTACCTTCTTCTTCACATTCCCTCCTAAGACCTGCTTTTGTTTCTCTGAGCTGCCTTTAGTCCCTCTGGTCCCCTCAGGACCTCCCTGCTCCTGTCAAAAGCAGGACTGAGGTTTGTTGTACAGTTGTGTGTGTTCCCAAATTCCCAGTAGCTCCTGTTCCATCAATGGGGACACAGAGAACAAGAAATTAATAAAGAAGGAAATTAGTCAAAAGTGGTGTCTTTCTTACAAGGAAAACTGCAGACACAGAATCCGAACAGAAATGATGGAGGAACATCTGTGACATTTGAGAGCTGCCAGGCACCAATAAAACCTGCCCTGCCAAGGATGTTTTTTTAATCAGAGCCCAAAATCAAAGATTTTTGATTAAGAGAAAAAATACAAACTGCCCACGATGCTCAGCTGACAAGAACCATCCTGGAAAAGCTCTCATGAATTTGCCATCACAGCACCCTGTGTTATCCAGGACAACAGGACAAGTGGGAATGACTTCAAACTGCCAGAAGGCAGGGATTTAGATGGGATATTGGGAAGAAATCCTTCTCTGTGAGGGTGGGGAGGCCCTGGCACAGGTTGGGCAGAGAAGCTGTGGCTGCCCCATCCCTGGAAGTGTCCAAGGCCAGGTTGGACGGGGCTTGGAGCAACCTGGGCTAGTGGAAGGTGTCCCTGCCCATGGCAGGGGGTGGGACTGGATGGGCTTTAAGGGCCCTTCCAACTCAAACCATTCTGGGATTCTGGGATTCTCTTCAGTCCCTCACCCTCTAATGACATCTCAAGAGGCCCTGGTGGCATCCAGTGTTCCCTGGAGCTTTTCCAGGACACTGGGATAGCCCTGCTTCCCTCCGCCAGCCCCAGCGCCTTTGCTGGACTTTGCTGGTCCTTGCAGAGAATTCCCTTTTCCATGTTTAGCCAAAGCTGGGGCAGGACTCTCCCACCCTCCAGAGAACCCTGGGGCTTTCTCTGGGATTTGCTTGGGACCCGGAGACCTGCCACCTTCCAGAGAGCTCCGAGGGCTTTCCCAACCTTTCCCAGGCTTTGCCGCCCTCCAGATTTCCTTGGCGCCTTTGCCAACCTTTGGAAAGTTTGGAAGTGTCCTTCTGCCCTTCGGGGAGCCCCAGGACCTTCCCCGAGCTTTTCCCAGGCCCTGGAAGCTCTCCCTGTCCTCAAAGGGCATTTTGGAAAAGGGCTGGTGAAGTTCCCTCTCTCTCCAGCTGATGGCACGATTGGGAGCCTGTGGAGCAGAGATTTTTTTTTTCCCAGGAAGGCAGACGGAGCGTTGGAAAACGTCCCAGTTTTCCGTCTCGAGTATCCGAGATTGAAGCAGCGCGGTCTCGGCCTCGCACCACGCCAGCATTCCCACCAGGAATGAGCGCGGGGAAGAGCCTGGTTCTTATAAAACGAGAAAATAAATACAAGTCACCGGGTCAGGGATGAGACCGGAGTTATCTGCGGGACAAACACCCGGCAGTAAAGGAATTCCAGCTCCCACCAGCAGGAATTAATGGGATGTCAGCCCACGGGAGAGCTTCCTTCCATAGGACATGTGTGATCGGGGCAATGATCCCTCCAGGCTTCCAGCTCCTCCGGAGCCTGCCTTACAGCTGTGTGACCTTCCAAACACACAGCAAAGGGAAAATCCCTGGGAAAGCGGCGGCTCCCTTCGGCCTCACGCTGACAATCGGCCCCTGTGCGTCCGTTCCTTGATCCAGCGTCATTCCAGACTGGCTGGGCTGAACACCTGGGCTGTCCTGGGGTGATCCTATAACCCAAACAGGCTCTGGGTTAATCCTGGCCTGGCTGGGATGTGCTTCGGAGCAGCCAGTGGCTGGGGAGGGCAGGTTTACAAGGTCTCGCCGTGGCAAAAAAAAAATGAATTATGGATACGGGCACAAATTCCCCCTCCTGATTTTGCTTTGCAGTTTGTGGATTTTGCTGCGCGAGCAAGAAAAGACAATAAATTATACTCCTTATTTCAGGCAGGCAGAGTTTAATACTTAAAGCCAGGACCGATTATTTTTATTCCTGGCTCTGTCTCTTGCATCCGTGGATGACCTTAGGAAGGACATCAGCCCTCCAGCAAAATTCCCATATTTTTAGGATGACAATGATGACTAAAACCTCACAAGGTGCTGGAGTGAGACTAGTTAATATTCAAAAAGGCCTTTCAGCTTTTTGTTGATTCAGATCTTACCGGAGCCGCTGCTGCAACACGAGGTTTGCATTGTGAAAATCAGTTTAAACCAGCAGAAATCCCACATTCTTTCTGAAACACGACGGCAAGTTCATGGGAGCTTTTCCAGGATGGTTCCTGTCGGCTGAGTTTCGTGTGCAGTTTGTGTTTTTTTTTTTTTTCCTCCTCTTAATCAAAAATCTTTGATTTTGGGTTCTGATTTAAAAAAAACATCCTTGGCAGGGCAGGTTTGATTGGTGCCTGGCAGCTCTCAAATGTCACAGATTTCTGTTCGGATTCTGTGTCTCCAGTTTTCCCTGTAAGCAAAAGACACCACTTTTGATTAACTCCCTTCTTTATTAATTTCTTCTTGTCCTTGGTATCCCCGTTGCCGGAAAAAGAGCTCTCTGGGAATTTTGGGAACGCACACAACTGCACAACAACCCCTCTCAGTCAATGAAACTGTGGGCCAACGTCTCGTGAGATGCTTTTCCAATTTTCTCTAATGGGGATCCGTGATCTCCGAGCAAGCTGTGGAAGGGAATCGCTGCAGGAGGAGCTTTTTTTGCTCCTAAAACATGATTTCCCTGGGTTTTCTGGGCCAGCAACACACGGGTGCGTAACTCAAGCCATGACTTGGGAAGAAGGGAGCTGCAGACCCTGCCTTTCCTGGGTGGAGGAGCCAGTCCTGGATAGATCCTGCTGGATCTTGGCGATCCTCCCTTAGATCCTTTCCAGCTTGGGGTTTTGACCTGGGGGATAAGGGGCTTTTTTGGGAAGCTGCCCCTTACAAACCTTGTCCTGATCTTCTCGCACCTTCTCGAGGCTCCTGTGTTTGGTTTGGGGCTCGTTCTCCCTGAGCATGAAGTAACTTCACAATTCCAGAGCTCCTGAGTGACCCCCCCCCTCTGTGCCAGGCTCTGCTGGGGCAGGGAAAGGGTTCCTGGTGCCGTCCCCTCCCTCTTTTCCTTTTACAGCACCTCCAGGTGCAATAAAAGCTGCTGATTCCCATTTAATGGATGATGTTGGTCACTAACAAGCTCACCTCCCTCTTAAAACCCAAGGCTGGTCCCAGGAGATCTAATTTAGGAAGCACGTGGAAGGCAGGGGTGTCCTCGAGGGCGGAACCTCCCTGCAGGCCAAAATATTCCGGCCTGGAATATTTTTATCCACCAAGCCGAGCTGCCAGAGGCTCTCAGCACCACCTGAGCCTGGTGGAGGACACCCTCACCTCAGCAACAGGGATTCATGGAGTGTGCAGGCACTCCTGGATGGCAGCAGGAAGAAATTCTTCCCTGTGAGGGTGGTGGGTGGCTGGGATGGATTTCCCAGGGAAGCTGTGGCTGCCCCATCCCTGGGAGTGTCCAAGGCCAGATTGAAGCACCCTGGGGTAGTGGGAGGTGTCCTTGCCCATGGCAGGGGGTGGGAATGGATGATCTTTAATGTCCCTTCCGACCCAAACCATTCTGGGATTCTCTAAATCCGTTTTCCCAACAAGGACATTTGCTTTCAGTGGTATTCCCATCTTCCTCCTCAAAGTGCTGGCTGATGCTGGGGGGCAGGAGCACTGTTGTATTTATTAATATGGGAAAGCTTGAAGTCATTTGTGGTCCTCCCAGTGATCTGATTGCTGTGTCTGGGCAGATCTCCAGCCTACCTGTGCTTGGAGTCTCCGTCTCCT